ACAAGTGCAAGGCTGCAGTTCTGATCAGTAGACAGTGGGGAGGCGGAAATCATATTGCAATACACATGGCTGTGCACTCCTACCTGCTCCATGGAGGTCTCGGTAGTTAAGCAGTCCTCCTGTAGCCGCTCATCACTATGACTCTCCCTCGTACACCGCAGCGTTTCCCCGGACTCCGCCATGTCTGAACACACACGCCTACCAGTGGCAATCCGATCAGCTACGGAGGCCCTGCAGCCTAGAACAGGTCATACTGCGAACTACTAGGTCCCGCCCACCTGTCACCGGATGTACACAAGGCATGCTTTCAATGAGATCACTTTGTTATTTCAGCCAGCTTGTGCCAGAAGAAACACTACTAGGGAGTGAATGAGGGATGACATCCTTATTTTGCCTATGGCTGGCTATTTTCAAGCAGGCATAACATTTTTTAAAGCGAACCTGTCAGTGTACACAGGATATTAAAGTGATACATGAAATTAAAGTGATACAAGTGATAAAATAGTATTTCAATATTAAACTCTTAAACTTTTTTTCAATAATGAATCCAGATCAAACAAATATGCATTGCCCAGCAAATCATTGCTTTACATTTCTGCCCAAATACTTACAATCATAATGTTTCTGAACAGCTGCTTTCAAGTCTCTTAGCTCAGCTTCCCTGAACTTTCTGTCCAGTATAAGATCACAAGGGACAGTGCAGACTTCAGCAACTGTTCATCTACTAGCTTGGAGAAGGGGAGGGCCAGGGGAGGAACGTAGCTTGATTTGCTGTGTTTGTGGAGACACACACAGCTTATTAGCACACACAAGGGTGACTGCATAGCACTCTGCTAGAGAAAGGAGTCACTCTAAAACAGGAAGTCAGGACCAATGCTCCGGGGAGTAGCTGATTCTACAGGAAACTAAAACTTTTAAACATCAAGGAGAAGCATCCATTGTAAGTGATTTCATCAGCATTTGAAATAGCTTAAAATCCTTTTGACTTTATTATCACTTTAAACTTTTTTCAATAATAAAATCTAGATCAAACAACTATACATTGGCCAGCAAAGGATTTCTTTACATTTTTGTCCAAACACTTACAGTCATCATGTTTCCAAACAGCTCCATCTCGCTAAAGGTGCCCATACACTTTACAACCCTCGCAAGACGTTTGTCTTGCGAGGGTTGTAAAGTAATTTAAAAAACGTACGATCTGCCAATCTTGGATCATCGCAAGCCCGCCCTTTCCGATGACTGCAATCCTGAACGGGCAATGTGCGCGTGCGCACACCGGCCCGTTTGGCAGTGATCTCTCGATCATGTTAAAAACCAGCCGAAAATCGTACGATTCTCGGCTGGTTTTCCAACATGCTCGATATACAAAAGTCGTGCAAGCGTACATTAGAAACGGTCGCACGCCTTCCATACACTGCACGATTATCGTACGATCGCAGGATTTCCCGCAATTCTCGTACGAGAATCGTGCAGTGTATGGGCGCCTTAAGTTCCGCTTCCCCGCACTTCTTGTCCATTACAAGCTCACAAGGGACATAGCCGTCTCCAGCAGCTGTCCGTATACTAGCTTGAGGATGGGATGAGGGTGGAAAGAGGAGTGGAGAGGAAGAGAGTGTTTTGCGTTGCTGTGTCTGTGTGTTTGTGACCCTACAAGATAAAGGGACCACGCTAAAACAAGATATAAGGACCCAGGGCCGCCGTCAGGGGGGTACGGCCGATATTAATTTCAGGGGCCCCGGCCACCTCAGGGGCCCGCCCAGGACCCTGGCATGAGTATCCGGCCGACTGTGAAGGGCTCC